GAAAAATTTAAGGGGGTCTGAATACTTTCCGTACCCACTGTAAGTCTCCATGGGTTCAAGCATTATAAACATCCTCACTACAAATGTCCAAAACTCAAATGGATTCTTGGAAGAATACATGAGAAAACACACTCCTAAAATCTGCTTCCTTCCTGTAGGTCTGAGGAGGTTGACGGGCAGGCAGGATGTGGGCGACATGATGGCAGAGATGAAGGAGGAGAAGAGGAGAATGGACATGGAGAGGAAGGTGTCCATCTCGGAGCTGTTTCGCTCTTCACTCTACCGCCAGCCCATCATCATCGCCATTATGCTGCAGCTCTCCCAGCAGTTATCTGGGGTCAATGCAGTGAGTCAGGGTTGATTTGAACACTGATTTAGTTATCATAAGCGCTCCACAAATAAAAAATTACATGTCATTCATGTCCTTTTTAAATGACCATTCAGTCCCAAAAAGGAAGCAGGAATCAGGACAGCATGACCTAACCTAATCCTGTTTACTCCTCTGCCCAGATTTTCTACTACTCCACCAGTATCTTCATGAAGGCAGGAGTCCAGAGTCCAGTCTATGCCACAATAGGAACCGGTGTGATAAACTGTGCCTTTACAGTGGTCTCAGTGAGTAATCAACCCAGAAGGCCTTTGTCTTAGCTTTTTGATGTGCTCCTCTGTTCTTACCAGAACATCTTAAGTGTAAGATCATTTTTAAAAATAATGTATGATAAAGATGAGAGTCCTGCCAACTGTACAAAATTGTCTCTCTGTTACTGTTTAACGTTGTTATCAAAAAGCAAATAAGAGGGAGTTGGTGAACCTTTCTTTCATTTGCCCAGCACTCAAATGTTTTTACATCTGAATAGACTGAGTGTGGTTTGGCAGGTCAAGATTTTTCAATGTCATTAAATGGGTCAAGAAATATGATTTTTTTTTTTTAAAGCCACACTAGCGCCGTGGCTCTTGGGATGGCAATGTTGGTCCACCGCTGTGGGCCAGACTGAAATATCTCAACAAATATTGGATGAACTGGCACAAGATTTGGTACAGACACAGTTTCCAGTTAATATTTTAGTTTATGACCAAATATCTGCACAGTTAATGAGATTCCCATCATCCTCAGCTGTAGTTGGTGTTTGGTGCTAATTTGAAAATGTTAGCATTCTAACAGACTAAACTGAAACCATGAACATGGTACATAGTATACCTGCTAAACATCAGATTAATAGTTGTCATTTTTAGCATTTAGCTCAAAGGGCCACTGTTTGTATAGTCAAGCTCACAAAGCTGCTAGCATGGCTGTGGTGAACTAGGTGAACAGCAGCTTTAGCAAGCCAAGTAGATTATATATTTTAGCTGCAGGTCAGGGCAGCATGGTGGTAATAACCCTTCTGTTGCCATTTTCTTCTTATTAGCTCTTCCTGATAGAGAGGATGGGTCGACGGACACTCCACATGCTAGGACTAGGAGGGATGTGCATCTGTGCCATCATCATGACTGTGGCTCTTGCTTTATTGGTCAGTCTCCCAAAGATGTAGACTTCCTGTATTTGTATAGCTTCCTAATTTCTACAAAAGTGAACCCTTTTTTTCTTGCACCTGACAGGACAGTGTACCTTGGATGAGTTACATCAGCATGCTGTCCATCTTTGGTTTTGTGGCCTTCTTTGAGGTTGGACCAGGTCCCATCCCCTGGTTCTTTGTAGCTGAGCTATTCTCTCAGGGTCCAAGGCCGGCTGCCATGGCTGTGGCCGGCTGCTCCAACTGGACAGCCAACTTCATCATCGGAATGTGTTTCCAATACATTGCTGTTAGTATCATATACTTTAAACTGATGTTACGGGAGTCCTAAGCTTTGATAATACCCCAGTGATGATTTTCTCTGCCTCACTTAAGTGCAGCTTTCAAATTTTCTGGAAATATCTAGGGTCTGCTCCTTCTCATGACATTTAATATAGACTTCCTCCTTTACTTCTGTTACCAGGACCTTTGTGGCCCATACGTCTTCCTCATCTTTGCAGTACTTCTCCTGTTCTTCCTCATCTTCACATTCTTACGGGTGCCAGAAACACAGGGAAGGACCTTTGACCAGATTGCAGCAAACTTTCACCAGCACTCGGCAGGGATGATAGATATGGACCTGGACCTAGACTTGGATCAGGACAAGCCCAGCACTGAGCTGGACTACTTGGGGGAGGAAAGCATCAACTGAAGAGTTGGAACCGAGCACAGCTTGGGATGAACTGTGTATACAGGCCTGAATCCAAATTTTTATCTGGCATGTACAGTGGCTTCAGAAAGTATTCAGACTCCACTTCTTGCACACTTTGTAGAATCATTTCTAAATTGATAAAATTTACATTTCTGCTCATCAGTCTACACTCATTAATCTGAGTTTTTAGTATACTGAGGTCTTGATGTAGCCTCATAGTGTGGTGTCAAAGCAGTGCTAAAGGTGTGTAACAATTTGGGTTCTTTGGAATTATTCTTTCTTGGTACCACTGCTTTATAAGCTTATTTAAGAATGACTTATCAAAGGCTAAAAACCTATGGATTAAAAGTTGACTACTGTAGTTTTAAGTAATGTGATGCAAATAAGGACACAGTGCCTGGACTGTTGAGGCACCGACTGACTGCCAGTGGAGTAGGATTTTATTCCATGGTGAGGCACTCTGCAGTAATGTTGGAATTCCTTTGTCTCTCAAGTAAAGGTCTGGTTTTGTGTTTAGATGTTTGGCTTTTTTGATAAGGGCTTGCAGAAAAATGTATTCCTCAAAGTTTGGGAGGCTCAAGCTATCACTCACTTACATAAAAGGTGCTGTGTGATGGTCTAAGTTTAAATTCCTTACACAGCCTAGTTATTTGGTTTTATAAACCCCAGTCTGTGATGGAATAGTGCCTGATTTGCAAGCTATAAAGAGTAGATTCTCTTGTAGATGATTTTATGTCACAAGCATTTGTGTATTTTCTTTGCATTGGTCATGTGTTTTATTCTTTAATGGAGTGTATCTGAGGATTTGTAATTTGTATAAAGAGAAGACCGATTCTGTGGCCATGTTTGACTAGGGCTACGTTCACATTACATATCTACACTCAGTCTAATATTTTAGTCAGATCTAACCTTTGTTGCTTGGGGTGCTTCAGGAAATTAGGTGACAGGTATCCAGCTCGAGCATCATTCACATCCTAAACCAAACGTGAAATTTGTGCAAAAGACCGACAAGGGTACTGACTCGCTCCAGGTACTGTGCAGTTATTTTTAAAAGGGATGTTTTTTTGTTTTTTAAAATGAATTCTGATTAACAGGGCAGATATGGGTCTAAATTAGGATCACAGGCAAGTGGCCAAGATCCAATATGGACCCTCCCCCCCACCAACAGTCTATAGGACAAAAAGTACTATACACAGGGAAAACATTTGGAAATGCCTCCATTAATATACAGGTGCATCTCAATAAATTAAAATATCGTGGAAAAGTTCACTTATTTCAGTAATTCAAATAGTGAAACTTGTATATTATATACATTCAGTACACACAGACTGAAGTAGTTCAAGCCGTTGGGTCTTTTAATTGTGTTGATTTTGCTGGGCTAAGGAGAAGAACTGGACTGTTGCCCAGTGGTCCAAAGTCCTCTTTTCAGATGAGAGCAAGTTTTGTATTTCATTTGGAAACCAAGGTCCTAGAGTCTGGAGGAAGGGTGGAGAAGCTCATAGCCCAAGTTGTTTGAAGTCCAGTGTTAAGTTTCCACCTGCCCACACTGCCAAAAGCACCAAAAGTTGGTTAAATGACCATGGTGTTTGTGTGCTTGACTGGCCAGCAAACTCACCAGACCTGAATCCCACAGAGAATCTATGGGGTATTGTCAAGAGGAAAATGAGAAACAAAATGCAGATGAGCTGAAGGCTACTGTCAAAGAAACCTGGGCTTCCATACCACCTCAGCAGTGCCACAGACTGATCACCTCCATGCCACACCGAATTGAGGCAGTAATTAAAGCAAAAGAAGCCCCTACCAAGTATTGAGTACATATACAGTAAATGAACATACTTTCCAGAAGGCCAACAATTCACTAAAAATATTTATAGGTCTTATGAGGTATTCTAATTTATTGATAGTGAATTGGTGGGTTTTTATTAAATGTGGGCCAAAAATCAACACAAAAGACCCAACAGCTTAAACTACTTCAGTCTGTGTGTACTGAATTTATACAATACATGAGTTTCACTATTGAGTTGAATTACTGAAATAAATGGACTTTTCCATGATATTCTAATTTATTGAGATGTACCTGTATACTGTGTAAATATAAGCAAAGAACCAAATGCAAAAACTGCACAAACACAGCAGAGCAGGTTCTGATCCATTTGTCTGCAGCCTAGATGTCAAAGGAAGAAATAAGGACTGAATCCTGAGATTTGCAAACATGATTTATTAATTAGCATTTTACATAACATTGCACATAATCCCCTCCAAAGGAAAAAAAAATAAAATAAAACTAAAGTTCTCAATCCATCCTCAACTGAGGAGATGAAGTTGCACATTAAGAATTAATTGAGGTGGTAATTGAACTAAACTGACTTCCATAATGCACCAACCTCACACCTGCTTGATTTTCCCCCCTCATCCAAATTAAAATATTTAAAAAAAATCTCAAGGCTGGGTCCTCGATGGACTACTTGACATGTCCCATGTATTCAATTAAAGCAGGCTAGTTTTTAAAAGGGGTAGTATAACTGGGCTACCAAGCACCTTGTCCAGTCTTTCCCTTTTCTTTTTAAAGATACTCATAATTTCCAAATATGCACCCACCACCCACCTATTTCACACTCTTCGCTACCCCGTCCCTATCCACATGTCCGTGTCTAGACAAACAAGATGGGGAGGGGGCCTGAGGGACGAATGCAAGACCAGGTGGGTTGGAGGATGGGGGAGTGCACGGAGGGGAGAACAGTGCATGTGTTCTGAAGTAAAGTCCAGTCCTCCAACCCTAGGACCTATGAGAAAACAAAATAAAAGACGCAAGGGAGACAGGGTTTGAAAGACAGACCTGAAGAAACAGCCTCAAAACAAAAAGATGCCTCAGAGCCTGAAACAAGATGAACTGAATCTGAAATCTAGGTTCCCAGAGTTCACACAAAATGTTCCCCGCATTAAACAAAGGACTCAGTTCCAACATAAGGAGTTGCCTTAAAGACTCGCCATAAAACTCCTCTCCCGTTAGCACCACTAACGCCCATGAATGGCCATCATCCTGCAGGATAGCCAATGTGGCACATGTAGCACAAGGAGTGCAACCCTACACCCTCATGTCTCCCACCCCCGCCTGACCCAGCGCTGCATGTCCCACCTCTTGCCAAGGCTCAGATGTCACTGTGCTGGTGCTGGGTCTGTTGTGGCCACTGTGGGCTGTGGGGAAGGACAATGAAGATGTGGGTCAACAAACTGAGGAAAAAATGGAAAACAAAAAAAAATGGAGGATGTGAAGTTTTACCTCAGGTGATTTGGGTATTTTAGGGGGGGGTTTAGGAGAGCCCTTTGTAGTAGGTTTAACATCAGTTGGGTTTGAAGATTGAGGTGGGGTACCAGGTTCTGATGCAGACTTCTCTGTATCATTCTGCACAAGCATGCAACAGTAAACCATTAGAACACACACGTCTGGGCAGCTTTTAAATACATTGGCATATTTTGGAGTAAGTGACAAAGATGATTTTCCCAATAAAAAAAAAAACTGTTAAAAGCCAATTCATGCATTTCAGGTTGTGACATACAAGCAGAGTGACAGGTTAGCACATGAGAGTTTCTATTTGTTCATGTTTTAGAACAGCAGATTGAGCACTTGCTACAGTTCATGATCAGAAACACTTGTACTCACTTTCGAGGTAGAGGATTCAGAGTTCCTCTGCCTACGTCGTCTAGGCTGGCGACGTTGTTTCTGGCTTTGTGTCGGAGCCGGTTCCCCGTTGGCCTGGGGAGTCTCAGAGGCCTCTGTCTGCTTCACTTCACTCTGCTCCTGGCTCTCCTGGGGAGCGGCTGCCTGCTGGCCATCTGCAGACTGAGACTGTGGGCGAGGTCGGCCCGGCCTGCAAGTCCCAGGAATACAGATTCCCTTTCACATTTGTGGAATTCAGCAGAGAATGGACAATAAAAGCACAGAGGTTCCCATACCTGCGGTATGGACGCCAGAATCTACGCCTTGGCAGCCGTGATGTCTGATCACTGGCTACTGCTGCTCCCTCCTTCTGCTCATCAGCTTGCCCCTGACAAGACAAGCACAGGCTTTCAGACAAACTTCAA